CTTTCTTTCTTTCTTTCTTTCTTTCTTTCTGACAGTGTTGCTGTGTCTCTCAGGCTGTCTCTCAGACTGGAGTGCAGTGGCACAATCAGGGCTCACTGCAGCCTCGACCTCCTGGGTTCAAGTGATCCTCCTGCCTCAGCCTCCTGAGTAACAAGGACTACAGGCATGTACCACCATGCCTGGCTAATTTTTTTTTTTATTATTGTTTGTAGAGATAGTGGTCTTGCTATGTTGCCCAGGCTGATCTGGAACTCCTGGGCTCAAGCAATCTTTCCAACTTGGCTTCCCAAAGATTGCGGGCATAAGCCATGTACCTCGCACCTCTGTCTCTCTCTCTCTCTCTGTCTCCTTCCTTCCTTTTCTTTCTTTCTCTCTCTCTCTCTCTCTTTCTTTCTCTTTTTCTTTCTTTCTTCTCTTTCCTTCCCCTTTCCTTTCTCTCTTTTTCTTTCTCTTTTCCTTTCTCTCATTTTTGCCCTGCCTTGCACTCCCTTTCCCTCCCCTCCCCTTCCTTCCTTTCTTTTTTCTTTGTCCTTCCTTCTTTTGAAATTTTTCAAACATACATTACCACTACATTTTAATAGTTTGATTATATCCTTGATGAGAGAGACTGTTAGTTGCCACCAATATCATACATCCTTTGCTTCTTTCTTAGCAACAGAACTCACAGTTTGTAGCTGGGTGTGTGGTCACTTGGCACAGGCTACATTTCCCAGCCTTCCTTGCTCTTCGGTGTACCCATGTGATTAAGTTCTGGCCAATGGGAAGTATGTATGTGTGCTTATGTGTGTGCACGCATGTGTGCGCGCATGTTCATACATGCACATCATTTCCAAGGAAGTGTTCATCAGGGAAGCAGGTTTGCTCTTCTTCACCTTTTCCTCCAACTTGCTGGCTGGAGAGGGAAGACACATTGTGTGGATGGCAAAGTAGCAATACAGAAGGGGCCCGCGTTAGGCCATTCTTGAACTGCTATAAATAAATACTTCAGACTGGGTAATTTATAAAGAAAAAAGGTTTAATTGGCATTCTTAAGAGAAAGCAATAATTTCTTTTTTTTTTCTTTTTTTCTTTTTCTTTTCTTTTCTTTCTTTCTTTCTTTCTTTTTTTTTTTGAGGCAGAGTTTCACTTTTGTTGCCCAGGCTGGAGTGCAATGGCATGATCTTGGCTCACCGCAACCTCCGCCTCCCAGGTTCAAGCAATTCTCCTGCCTCAGCCTCCCGAGTAGCTGAGATTACAGGCATGTGCCACCATGCCTGGTTAATTTTGTATTTTTAGTAGAGACGGGGTTTCTCAATATTGATCAGGTTGGTCTCAAACTCCCAACCTCAGGGGATCCGCCTGCCTTGTCCTCCCAAAGTGCTAGGGTTACAGGCATGAGCCACCGTGCTCAGCAACAAGAAAGCAATAATTTCTTAGTATCATTATATGTTCGAATAGTGCTTAAGAGGTTCCACAGGCTGTTCAGGAAGCATGGTGCTGGCATCTGCGTAGCTTCTGGTGAAGCCTTAGGGAGCTTTTACTCTTGGTGGAAGGAGAGAAGAGGGAACAGGCAGGTCACATGGCAAAAGTGGGAGGAAGCTCCAGAGAGTAGGGGGAGGTGCCACCCATTTTTAAGTGAGCAGATCTCATGTGAACTCAGAGAGAGCTCACTTATGGCCAAGGGGATGGCCCAAGCCATGCATGAGGGATCTGCCCTGATGATCCAAATGCCTCCCACCAGGCTGGACCTCCAACACTGTGGATTACAATTCAACATGAGATTTGAGTTCAGACTATCTCAGGGCCTACTGTCCTGATGATGAGGAATAAGACCACCTGCATCCACACAGCTTAGCCAGCAGGACTGAGACCTAAGACCTCTGGGTCAGCATGACTTTCTATTTGATCCAGGAGATTCTTGTTCAGGAATATTAGACTGTAAACCAGTATGTGCCTTCACTGTTTGCCTCAATAAATTCATGAAAAAGCATTTATTATAACAAAGATTGCTCATCTTGGCAATTAACCCCCTTCTCTGAATGATAGTATAACCACTCAAGGGGTTCACCTTGCCTGCTGCCTAGAGAGAGCTGATTTATCAGGACAGGGGAATTGCAATAGAGAAGGAGTCATTCACACAGAGCTGGCTGTGCAGGAGACTGGAGTTTTATTATTACTCAAATCAGTCTCCCCGAACATTCAGGGAGCAGAGTTTTTAAGGACAACTTGGTGGGTGGGGGGAAGCCAGTGAGCCAGGAGTGCTGATTGGTCAGTGATGAAATCATAGGGAGTCAAAGCTGTCTTCTTGTGCTGAGTCAGTTCCTGGGTGGGGGGTCACAAGATCAGATGAGCCAGTTTGTTGATCTGGGTGGTGCCAGCTGAGCCATCAAGTGCAGGATCTGCAAAATGTCTCAAGCACTGATCTTAGGAGCAGTTTAGGGAGGGTCAGAATCTTGTAGCCTCCAGCTGCATGACTCCTAAACCATAATTTCTAATCTTGTGGCTAAAGTTAGTTCTACAAAGGCAATTTAGTCCCCAGACAAGTAGGAGGTTGGCGGGCTGGGCGCTGTGGCTCACACCTGTAATACCAGCACTTTGGGAGGCCGAGGCCGGCAGATCACGAGGTCAGGAGTTTGAGACCGGCTTGACCAACATGGTGAAGCCCATCTCTACTGAAAATACAAAAATTGGCCGGGCGCGGTGGCTCAAGCCTGTAATCCCAGCACTTTGGGAGGCCGAGACAGGCGGATCACGAGGTCAGGAGTTCGAGACCATCCTGGCTAACACGGTGAAACCCCGTCTCTACTAAAAAATACAAAAAACTAGCCGGGCGAGGTGGCGGGCGCCTGTAGTCCCGGCTACTCGGGAGGCTGAGGCAGGAGAATGGCGTAAAAACCCGGGAGGCAGAGCTTGCAGTGAGCTGAGATCCGGCCACTGCACTCCAGCCTGGGCGACACAGCGAGACTCCGTCTCAAAAAAAAAAAAAAAAAAGGAAATACAAAAATTAGCTGGGCACTCGCCTGTAATCCCAGCTACTCGGGAGGCTGAGGCAGGAGAATAACTTGAACCCAGGAGGCGGAGGGTTTCAGGGAGCCAAGATCGCACCACTGCCCTCAAGCCTGGTGGACAGAGTGAGACCGTTTCAAAAAAAAAAAAAAAAAAAAAAGGAAATAAAGTTTTTTGTGATTGGTTGATGTCTCAAGTCTGCTTTTTCTTCAAAATGTTTAATTGAAGTATAATACACATATAAAAGCTTGCAAATCATAAATGAATGTATGGCTCAACAAATTTGCCAGTCTCTTTTAATCTGTAGATTGACCCTTCCCCTCTTTTTTTCCTTTGGAATTTGATAAAGAATATATTTGTCTTGTACTGTTTCCCACAGTCTGTACTTTGCCAGTTGTTTTTCATGGTGTCATTTAGCATGTTCCTCTATTCTGTACTTCCTGTAAATTGGTGGTTACATCTAGAAGTTCATCAGGTCAGGTCAAATTTTTTTTTTTTTTTTTTTTGACACAGAGTCTTGCTCTGTTGCCCAGGCTGGAGTGCAGTGGCGTGATATCAGCTCACTGCAACCTCCACCTCCCAGGTTCAAGTAATTCTCCTGCCTCGGCCTCCTGAGTAGCTGGGATTACAGGCGTCTGGCACCACTCCCGGCTCCTTTTTGTATTTTTAGTGGAGAGGAGGTCTCACCATGTTGACCAGGATGGTCTCAAACTCCTGACCTCAGGTGATCCACCTGCCTTGGCCTCCTAAAGTGCTGGGATTACTGGCATGAGCCACCACACCCAGCCTTAAAGCATCTTTTGAAGGTGGATGTGATTTCCACAAACAGGCAAAAGCCAGTCAGACTGAGTGTAGTGAATAATGTGGGTGACCAAGCTGGAAGATGATGGTTTAACGTGGAACACAAGGGGTGATGAGGCCATGAATGATTTGCTTGTGTGTCTGGTAAATTGGCTTTGATGGAAATTCCTAAACAGGCCCAAAAACGTTCTGTCCAATGGCAGCATGAAATGTACAGCCACCCAGGGTGACTAATGTGAACGGAACAACAGTGACATTGACGGTGAAATTGCATGTTGGTTATAAAACCAGCTTTGCTGTGTGGGTGGACATACGAGGTGCCCCTTTCTGGTCATGAGCTCCTCTTAAGGACCCCAAAATGTCTCAGTGTACCCGTTTGAAAATTGGAGCTGGACTGTGCTCTCCTGCTGAAATTCGCGAGGTCCTTAGCAACCCCACCTAGGACCCCTCGATTCCGAGGGGCAGACCCTGGGCGCGTGTCTCATTTTCAAGCCCGCGGCCCGACACTAGAGCCGTCTGGATGTGTTGACAAGAATGCCGCTGGGCTCCACCCGGGCCCTACCGAGCCCTGGGCCGCGCAGCACCGGCGTCCGCCTCCTCCCCATTAGTCGCCGAGAATGCGGTCGGGGCACTGCGCGCGAGGAGGCTGGTGCTCGTGAACAGTCAACAAGAAATGAGGAAGAACGGGGGCAGCCGCCAGGGCGACCGACCAGAGGCAGGCCTCAGAGCAGCAGCCAGGCGGGAGGGCCTCAGTGGCTCTAACCTCCCGCCGACTTCCCTTTTCCCGCTCGGCGGAACCCCTCTCAGGCATGCTGGCAGTCCCCAGGGGCCTCACTCAGCCTCCGCCCGCTACTCGCGAAGTCCCACCCGTGCCCCGCCCCCCAACACGTGACGCAAAACTGGGCGGTCCACTAGGACCTCTGGCCTAACAGGCCGTGCGTCAGGGCCGGCGCCTTCTGCGAGCTCCTCCCACGCCCGCGGGTCTGGAGCTCGCGCCTGCGCAGTTTGGACCCAGGGTGTCACCACCCCCCCGCTCCCCTTCCTTAGCAACCGTCACCCGCTCCCGCCCCCGCTCCCTCGGTCGCGGCCGCGCACGCGCGCCCCTACCGGCGCCCGGCCCCGCCCACCCCGTCACCCGTAACAACCACAAGTGCCCTCGCCGCGCCCCTTCCCCCTCCCGCCTCCCCGGCCCCCTCCCCGGAACCGGCGGTCGAGCTGCGGCCGCCGAGCAGTGGAACCGCGACTGCCCAGCGGAGCCGCCGGTATGAGCGTCCCTCGCCACCCCGCGTCCCAGGCCCGGCCTTTCTGACAAGAGGTAGGCTCGTCGTCGCGGCGGGTCCGAGTGCGCCCCTGCCCCGGTCCCGGTCTCCGTGGAGTCCGGCGCCTCTCGGACGGGCCCAGCGGAACTCCCGGCCGCCCGCCCGCTGCGCCCGTCCCTCCCCGGCCCCGGCTGCCCTCGGCGCCCGAAACGGGCTGTGCCCCCGCCCCCCTGCTCGCCCCTCGCCCCCGCCCCCACCCCGCGAGGCTTCCAGCTCCCGGGAGCCGCTTTTTGCTGAGAGCGGAGTTTCGGGTCCGGAGCCAGTGCCCGCCCCGCTCTCCCCTCGGCCGGGGCTTTGGGCCCGTGGGGGCGCAGCCGCGCGGGACCCCTGCTAAGCGGCCCCGGGCGCTGGCCGCCCCTCGAGCCTGCTCGGGATGCGTTCAGTGGGTCTGGCCATTGGCTCCTGTTTAAACAGCGATTGTCATGCAATAGAAACCGCCCGGGTCCTGGATGCCACTTGGTCGTTGTCACTCCGGATGCCCGCGTAGGGCGTTTATCTGGACCAGAGCATCGGCAGCTGGGACCTGGCTGTGGTTCACAAGCTCGTGAATTAGCAGGTTCTTAAGTGAGTGTAGCCAGTTCTACCAGGCGGTGGAATCCTGAATGGATGTTATAGTTTCTTAAACGAGCATTACCCTTTTTTGCTTCCTCCCCCCACTCTTGTTTGTACCCGGTGATCGTCCTCTTATCTGGGAGATAACCCTAAAATTAATTTTCCCAATAAAATTTTTAAAAGATGATTGGATTCCCACTGTGCACCAACACTGTAAGGTTTGCAGAAGTAAAAAGAACGTGGTCCCAGCACATCAGGATGTGTCAGTCTCGCAGTCAAGATCAATATTAGGAAAGCTTCAAGTCGAGTTTGGAGAACTTGGGAGTTTGGCTCTGATTCTCATGATTTTAGAGGTGGAAGTCTTTCAAGATCATCTTCCCGAAAACCTCATGTTACAGAGATGAAACTGAGTCCTAGGGAAGGCAAATGGCTTACTCGTAGTCACCCAGAGTTATTCCTTAGCCGTTTTCACACTGTCAGATGGTGGTGGTTTCCACCATGACCTCCTCCTCTGAGAGGTATGCCAGACATACTAGAGAAAGTTCCAAAACTGTTTAAACGTAGTGGTATACATAGGAATTTGATACCGGCGCGGTGGCTCATGACTATAGTCGTAGCACTTTGGGACGCTGAAGTGGGCAGATCCCTTGAGCCCAGGAGTTTGAGACCAGCCTGGGCAACATGGGGAAACCCTCTACAAAAGAAAGTATATGGTGGTGCGTTCCTGTGGTCCCAGCTACTTGGGAGGCTGAGGCTGGAGGATCACTTGAGCGCAGGAGGTGGAGGCTGCAATGAGCGGAGATTGTGCCACTCTTGGGCAGCAGAGAGAGACCCTGTCTCCAAAAAAAAAAAAAAAAAAAAAAGAAGGAATCTTGGAAATTTCTGAAATAAAATATATCTTTGTAATCTTTTTTTTTTTTTTAAACAGCTAGACTTTGGGCTCCTTGAGGATATTCAGTTTTATACGTTTGAATATCCTCTCACCATGTTCAGCGGAAAATACCATTCTTAATGATTATCCTCAACAAGACAGGTAGGCTCATTCGATTTTTCTTTCTCACTTTAAATAGAGGAGACAGAGGACTGGCAAGTCCAAGTGTGTTCTTAGAGCAAACTATGTAGGCTGACGCTAGAGAATGATTGTGCCCGTAAGGATGGCTCCCCTACTGTGAATTAGGTGTGAACATTTAACCGATTCCTTACAGATAGTAGCTATTTGAGGCTAGAGATTTCAGTGGAGCCTCTTTAGCCAGAGTACTTGGCATCTCTGCCACTTGAAGACAGGTCGCCAAAGCTGTAGTGTACACAGTTAGAAAATAGGAATTGACACTTTTCCTTTGAAGCTAGCTTTTGAGGAGTATACCATAATTTGAGATACAGTAGTATTTTTTTCCAGTTTTATTTCTGTTTTCCCAGAGGTAATATCTTAACACGAGATCATTTTTATTTGGCTTCTGGTAGAAGTTGTTTAAGAGAAAATGATCCAAGCACTAATTATGTTGGTTATTAGAATAATAGAATCATAACAGTTCATTGCTGGAAAGGACTCAGGTCAGGTCATGTAATGAATGCCGAATCCCAGTAAGTCGATGAGGGGATTGGAGCCCCTCTCACACCAGTACTGTTTGCCTCATTGCACTTTGTTCGCTTTTTCTTATTGTTTAATTACCTCCCCCTGCCCTTGTGTATTTAAATATCATCTTTTCATTTTCATGTGCATAGAATTATGACCTATTGTGGTCTCTTTCTGTCGTTAGAATGTGGTATGATGTGTCAGTGCAAACTTACTAATAATTTGTTTCTGCTCTGTGGTTGTTTATCACATATATTTATGTTTTGCAGGTGTGAGAGGATTGCTGTTGTATTTCAATCATGGTGCAGAAATACCAGTCGCCAGTGAGGGTGTACAAATACCCCTTTGAATTAATTATGGCTGTAAGTACTTGACATTTCAATTTACTCTTTGGCTTCTTATTTATAAAATACGGTGTTAGAATTTGATGATCTATAGATTTATTGTTTGTTTCCATGGCGTCACTTGTACTTATTCTGTTTTTATGCTTATGAACTGTATCGAGAGTGTGTAAAATGTTTTTAAAACGTAAGCCTCTGAAAATAAAAATCTGCGCGTTAAAAAAATGCACTTCAGGGTAATGTATGAATTGAAGTTAATTCTCCCTTTGAACACACGGAAGTGGGATTCTAAGCACTTCTTCTTCGGGATTGTGCTCTTTTTTTTCTTTGTTAGAGCAGCAAAGGGATGTGGAGTGTGGTCTCTGCTGCTCACGTGGAAGAGTGCTCTGCCTGTGGGTGAATTCACTTTAGGTAGTGTTAGAACTGAGCACTGTGCGATGGAGTTTTACTCACCTGATTCAAATGACTCAGCTGAATGAGTTTTTCCCCCAGTATCAAATCCATGAGTTCAGTTAGAATTCCACACATGGGGTAAAGTCTTAATTTTCTTTGTTATTTACCTGAAGAATTTGACTGAAAATAAGCATATTACTAGATGCAAAGCAAACCTTTTCCAGTTATTTTTAGATTACTGTAGGGTATTCCTTCTTTTCCTTTCTCTTTTGTGTTATTAAGATATACATACCAGAAAATATGATACAGGCAGGAGAATGTGTCTTTCGTGAGCACACACCTGATGAAAACACGTGTGTCACACTCAGCGCACCTGGGATACTGGCACCAAGGTCAGGAAGTCAGGAACCAGAACGTAGGCGACCCAGGAAGAAGTCCGCCCTGGTTCAAGTGAGCCACTGTTTTGACTCCTAACACACAGGGGACTGTTACCTGTTTCTGTTCCTTCTATAAATAGAAACACAGGTGTTTTAGCAGCTGGCTGCTTCTGCTCAGTGTATGTTTGTGGGATTTATCTAGATCAATAGTTTTGAAAAACAAAAAGTCCTCTTATAGGAACAATTTACATGAGAGGGTTTGTTTTAAAATTTATTTTTATTTATTTATTCTTTTGAGACGGCGTCTGGCTCTGTCACCCAGACTGAAGTGCGATGGCGTGATCTCAGCTCACTGCAACCTCTGCCTCCTGGGTTCAAGCCATTCTCCTGCCTCAGCCACTCAAGTAGCTGGGATTACAGGCCTGCACTACCATGCCCACCTAATTTTTGTATTTTTAGTAGAGATGGGGTTTCTCCCTGTTGGTGAGGCTGGTCTCGAACTCCTGACCTCAGGTGATCCACCCACCTTAGTCTCCCAGAGTGCTGGGATTACCAGCGTGAGCCACCGCTCCTGGCCTATTTTTATTTTTATTTTTGAGACGGAGTTTGCTCTTGTCGCCCAGGTTGGAGTGCAATGACATGATCTTGACTCACTGCAAGCTCCGCCTCCTGAGTTCAAGCAATTCTCCTGCATCAGCCTCCCGAACAGTTGGGGTTACAGGTGCCTGCCCCCGCACCTGGCTAATTTTTTTTTTTTTTTTTTTTTAGTAGAGATGGAGTTTCTCCATGTTGGCCAGGCTGGTCTCGAACTTCTGCCCTTAGGTGATCCTCCTGCCTCGGCCTCCCAAAGTGCTAGGATTATGGGTGTGAACCACCATACCTGGCCCATTTTTTAAATTGAGGTATAATTTACATCCAGTGAAATGGTCACATGTCAGGTGTACAGTTTGATCAATTTTAACAAAATAATCCCTAACACTTTTGTCAAAAGACAGGACATTTGCGTCCATCCCCCGTGAAGGTTCCTTGGTGTGCCTTCCCTTTCAGGTATGAGGTTTTGGTTTGTGTGTGTGGGTAAGAAGTTCTGTGTTACTCTTAAATATGTGTAACTAGGGCTGTTGAGTATTTTACGTTGTTGACTTACCATGTTTGCCATTTGCATGTTATCTGCGCTGTTTTGGCTTTTGGTTGTATGAGACAAAGACTCTCTCCAGCCAGCTTGGGAAGGAGTTTTGTGAGTGGGAACATGTATAGTGTGATAGGAATCGCACAGGAATCTGGGAATTCGAGCTGGGATGGGCTGAGCTCCAGAGCCTGGTGGTGGAGGGAGGTTCCTCGCTGCTCTGGGGGCCTCAGCCACAGTTTTTGTCTAGGATTTTGTCCCATGGGACTGTGCCTGGCTCCATGTGCTGGAACCTTCTCCCCCGCCACCAGCTGGCTGCTTTGCTCTGTCCTGCTTTCCCTTCCTTGTGGCTTCAGCTGGAGGACTTGCTTAGCTGTCCAAAAGCCCTCTGGCCCCAGTTCAACTCTGTGGCATTTCTTGTTGCATTCTTTCAGTTTCTAAGTGACCAATTCCTGTCACATTTCATAGTTCACATCCTTGAGAGAAACTTGATCTAGTTCATTCCCCACCCCCACCCCTGCCCTGGCCCTGGGTTTGAGGATATTGGCTAGCCTGCAGATTGTCTGCCCTGGGTGGGAGGCCTGACCCGTGTTCAGTGAGCTGGGCTGGTGGAGCTGGGGAGGAGGCGCTGGGGTTGTGGGCAGTGGGCAGCGCCGGGTAAGGCAGAGTGGCTGCCCATGGCCCGGGGTGGACACAGGACAGAGAGTTGGGTGGAGTGGCGGATGTTTTCCAAAACACTTGAGTGTGACTTAAAAAGCTTCATGCAACCCTCATAGTTTGAGGCAAAGGCTGGTTTCTTTGCCAAACGTTAGATTTAATAAAGAGGAGGTGTTTGGATTGTTTACGGTTTGGACTTCCTTATTTCCCTTACTTCACTATTTTCAAAATTGTGACGTTTGCCTTGCCGGTTTATGCAGGACTTTACAGAACTCGAAATTCAAATTCTGAGCTGCCACCAAGTTTTTACAATTAAACCATTTTAAAATTTTTGTTCTGAGGTAGTGGCTAATTTCCCTTCTTTTTCTTTCTTCTCCTTTTTTTTATGATTTAAAACTTACTAGTTAGAAACTTTTCTTTTTGCCTCACCAGCTTCAGGAAATTTTCTTTTGAATTGTTAGACAAAAATAAATAAATAAATAAACCCACAGACGCATGCACACGCATGTATGTTCTTCCACCCTGTAGTATAAAGAAAACATTTTGAAATCCGAAAATGAAGTATGTTACCTTTTTCCTTCCAGAAGTAGACTGTGGGTGATGTTTGTGTGGTGTGTTTTGCTCACATTTCTTACTGTAGTTGTATGGTATAAAATCCTCAGTATTTACTTTATTTTTTTCTCATTGAGGAAAACAGTAAAATGAGTTAACCTGAAAATGTCCTTTCCAGTTCAGCATTCAGAGTGAGGAAAGAGGTATAGATACAGTCAAGGTGAGAACGGAACTGTATTCCGCCGACGTATTTGTGAGCACGTCAGAAAGCGAACGTGCCTCACTAGAATGCATCATGGCGTCAGGAGTGGCTGGCAGGTGCCCGGCACGCAGTCACGGGAGGTGGGTCCAAGTCCTGGTTTATGTGAGTCCTGTGAGGTGAGAGAGGGGGGAAAAATGCCACCCACTCAACTTAATGCCCTTGTTTGTTTGTTTTAACCAAGAGTTTACTTGTAATTTAGTATTGCCAGAAAACTGTTTAGGTAAAAAGTGTCGAGTATAAATAGGTACACAGTCGGGTCAGATATGTTAATTGCATCTCACTTGATTTAATGAAAATTTACCATTTGTTTTGAGGTCAGTACCATTAAAAAAAAATGTTAAAGTTCTCATTAACTCGCTTCAGTGATATTTACATAGGCAAAATTGAAGTGGAGGTTTTTCAGTAGGCATTTGCGTGGTGTTCTTTCGTTAGATACCAACCCAGAAACAGAATGTCAGAGCTTTCAGCGAGTTGGAGAAATCACCTAGCTCAACCCTCCCTGGGAAGGAGGGCGGGGAATCCGAGACTCTGAGGTGGTGAAACTTACACAGGTAGTGCCGAGATCTGATTCTGGGATTTGGTGTTCTTTTCTCATACTGTGCTTCTTCCTCCTACCCACGGGTGTGTACCTGAAACATTTTAGGAAAGAGAAATCAAAACTTCTTGGCCACACACAAACGAAAGCCTCACACCTGACAGGGAGGGCACACCGGGAGCCTTTTGGTGGGATGGTTGCGCATGTCCTGTGTTTTGACAAAGGTGTGAGGGACTCATTTTTTAAATTGAGTTATAATTTACACAGTGAAATGGTCACATGTCAGGTGTACAGTTTGATCAGTTTTAACAAAAGGGCTACGCTTCCTGGCTTGTGGGGAGGAGAAATGAATCAGTGAAGAACACGCTGATTGATTGTGCCTTAAAGGCTTTACGATCTCATGGGGGCATAGTGATATGATCCCACAGATTAGGAACGTAGAGTGGGAGGTATAATTCTAGGGTGCTTGAGTTGAAGTGTTTCTTTTGGAAATTTCTTTTTTTTTTTTTTTTTTTTTTTTTTTTTTTTTTTTTTGAGACGGAGTCTCACTCTGTCGCCCAGGCTGGAGTGCAGTGGCGCGATCTCGGCTCACTGCAAGCTCCGCCTCCCGGGTTCACGCCATTCTCCTGCCTCAGCCTCCCGAGTAGCTGGGACTACAGGCGCCCACAACCGCGCCCGGCTAATTTTTTGTATTTTTAGTAGAGACGGGGTTTCACCGTGGTCTCGATCTCCTGACCTTGTGATCCGCCCACCTCGGCCTCCCAAAGTGCTGGGATTACAGGCGTGAGCCACCGCGCCCGGCTCTTTTGGAAATTTCTAAGATAAAGCACAAACTTTAAAAGTTAAACATGGTCAAATGCAACTCCCCCCCTCCCCCCATGTTAATGGCTCCTCAATAAAGGCTTCAAAGGGAAAATGAAGGAGGCGGGAGGCCACCTAGTGTAGGAGGGCAGGGTGGGAGAGGTCAAGGTCAGGAGCCCTTAAGGAGAGTTGTGGGAGAGAGGGAAGAACATGAGAGGCCACCTTCTGGACCCAATTTCTGTGGTGACAGCCGCAGGTGAGACGATGGCTTGGACTCAGGTCTGTCTTCTGCTGAGGACAGCTGTCCTCATTGTGACCGGT